CGGAAACCCTAATATAGGGGCCTTAATAATTACCAATACCATTTTGGGAGGTTCCTTATTCTAATTATGGTATAGTGGGCCCCACAACCCTATTCTAAGTATTAAGGCCCCTATAGTAGTTACAAGTTCGAAGTCGTAGCCAATCCTCCAGCTCCACAATTCAGTCTGTCAGCGCCCCAGCTAGTGAAGCCTAACAAGAGCCTTTAAAGCAGATCCCACAGAGCCGAACATGACTACCCCCTAAACCCTAAACCCTAACTTCGTTCGGTCAAGGCTGCTACTCCCCCCGGATTGCGTTTAGCTTTGGATTCCCGGGGTCTCTGAGCTAGGACCCCATTTTAATCACTCTTTTTGAGGGAGGGACCCAGAACAGAACCGAAGCAAAAGGGCGCACAAAAAGAGCTCTCAGCCCTTAAGAGGGTTTCGTAGAGGTTCAGTGGCGTCATCAAGGCGGACATCCAGGCACGGAGCATTTGTGCAGAACTTGTTAAAAGGTGTGGGGATGATAGTAGAGGGTTCTGCATCACCAACCCTGAACCCCAAAACCGTAAAGCCGTAACCCTTAAACCCCAAACCCCAAAGCCGTAAAGCCCTAACCCTTAAACCCTAAACCCTAAAAAACCTCAACAAACCCTAAAACCGTAAAGCCCTAACCCGTAAACCCTAAACCCTAAACAACTTAAAAACAACCCAAAACCGTAAAGCCCTAACCCTTAAACCCTAAACCCTTAAAAACTTATAAAAAAAAAAACAACACAAAACCGTAAAGCCCTAACCCAATCGTTCAAGATGCGGGACTGACCCCCGGGGCCGTTTACCCCGGCCTTCTGCAAGCGATGCTTCGGAAATGAACCAGGCTACACCCTAAACGGTTTAGGGTGTAGGGTTTAGGGTTTAGGGTTTAGGGTTTAGGGTTTAGGGTTTAGGGTTCAGGGTTTAGGGTTTAGGGTTCAGGGTTCAGGGTTTAGGGTTAAGGATTTATGGTTCAGGGTTTAGGGTTCAGGGCTTAGGGGTAAGGGCAAAGCCCTATAGTTGCCCTTTCGATTCCTGCGAGGCGCAGCCAGAAGCTCGAGCCCTGAACCCATCGAAGACTTCACGAAACAAGCACCTGACAACCACCGAAAATGCGAGCCTGCATAAATGGTAAGGTTTAGGGTTTAGGGTTTAGGGAACAATTTTGTAAGGGTTTAGGGTTTAGGGGTCGGGGATGTCATACTGTAGTATATTTTTGCGGAGAGGATGCAAGTATGAAAAGCTTCCGGAACTCGCACCAACTGAACCCTAAACCCCCAACAAAAACACAGGTGGGATTTTCAGGAAATAACTGACGTCTATATCTGCGTCGGCATCTGTATCGATCTACACGTCCTTAATAGCGGGAGCCCCTTTTTGGAGAAGTCCCCGCGCTTCAAATCCCAAGACCCCGAAGCCTCCAAGCCCCAAAGCCCGTAACCTTAACGCCCTGGTTTAGGGTTTAGGGTTTAGGGTTTAGGGTTTAGGGTTCAGGGTTTAGGGTTTCAGGTGTCCGTCAAGAAGGCAACTGGTAGCTCCGAGTTGGCTGAGCGGATCGCTACTTGGCTGAGCTTGCAGCTGCGAGGACAGCGACTGGTTGAACGGCGAGTATTAAGGTCGAATAATTAGACCGGAGGGTCCATATCGGTAGTTCTCTAAATTGGGGTCCTCTCTAGTCCTTTTTAAGATCCCTTTGACAAGGGCGCCGTACTACATTGGGGACCTAAAAAGGGACCCGGATTTAGAGACCTACCCATATACGCTACTACCATTATGGAATTATGTCCCAAAAACCAGGGTAAGGATGGTCTTTTGGGACCTAATGCCATGATGGCAGTGTACATGGACCCTCTGGGACCCTAAACCCTAAACCCTAAACCCTAAACCCTAAACCCTAAACCCTAAACCCTAAACCCTAAACACCCTCTGTGGATAAGGACAGCCTCCTCTTACATTCCCTATCACATTAATAGACCCCAACACCGCACTCTAATTACTAGGGTTTAGGGACCCTAAACCCTAAACCCTAAACCCTAAACCCTAAACCCTAAACCCTAAACGCTAAACCCTAAACCCCTAACCGTCACGGCTTCTGCGGTTGTGGCTATGGATTAGGAACTCGGAGTCTCAGTTCCAGGGCTTGTGGAACGTTCAGGGTTTAGGGTGGGCTGCGGCGACTGTGATTCGGTTGACGGCTTGTCTTTCGTGGTTTGGGTCTTGAGTCTATATACGCCCGACAAAAATGCTTCGTGTTGTATTTTGGCGCGTCTAGGAGGGCAACAGTAAAACAGGACGTAGGGCCGGCTTAAGATTTTGGGTTTAGGGTTTAGGCCCCAAATTTCCAAACCCTAAACCGTAAACCCGCAGCCCTAAACCCGAAACCCTAAACCCGAAACCCTAAACCCTAGGGTTGAGGATGGAAGGTTCTGGGATCTGTGGCTCGTTCCAAGGTATGCAACGAGGCTGTTCGGCGTAGGGCTTGGCACTCCTCTTCACCTAAACCCCCGAGAAATCCGATCATGGAGTCATCTTCACAGAATGCTTGCGAGGTTTCGCCATTTAATGCTCAGTTTCCACTTGCCCCCCGATGAAAGCTATGCTCCATCTGTCCACGCCGCAGCCCCACTGCACCCTAACAGCCTTATGAAACTCAGCTTCACCCTAAACCCTAAAACCTGAACCCTAAACCCTAAGCCCTTAATTCTGGCGCACCGCTTCGACCCGCTAACCCCCATCCCCAACTCTTAACCTCAACTTCCGTTCGAGGCAGAGATATGCTACGAACAGCTGGAGCTGGGTGTGTCGAAGGCGGAGGTCGCGGTGAAGCTGAGAGGGCTGTGGTGTTCTTAACAAATCCCTCAACCCCAACACCCAACATAGAACTTGAACAATACGGCTTAGGGTTTAGGGTTTAGGGCTCAGGGTTTAGGGAATTAGAGTTGTACAAGTTATACAGGGCTTTCGGGGTTCCTTCATAAGCTTGTTTTCTGTAAGCCTAGTTGCGAAGTCCCATGGTCCTAGAGGCCCTTCACCTCAACCTCGAACCCTCGGCGTGACGCTGTGCAGTCGAAGATTTTCCGCACTGAACCAACAGCACTCGAGCCCAATCTAGTGGCCGGACAAAAAATGGAAGAAGCCTTCGCGGCACATGATAGTATCAGGATATAGGGGCACTTAGCGGACAATTGTTTTAATTTAACATATTCAGACCCCTACATTGTTCCTCAGCCCTCAATCTCGGAGTCTCGAAACAGCAAATCTCGGCAGGTCACAGCATTGCGAGATAATCTTCTCAGGCAGCAGTGTCCCAAGATCGGGTGCTTCGGGAAGTAGGCTTTGCGCTGGGAGCTGGGGATTTGAGGTACTGATTGTGTTTGCAGCCGTCTCATCTACGCATTGCGGCAGTTGGAGTGTTTAGTTCTTGCCTGTGTCTGTATTTAGCTTTAGGAGTTCCGGATGTTGGTTGGAAGTTTGTGCTTACGCGTTAAGGGTGCGTGGTTTGAAGTTCTGGAGGGGGCTGTGCCTTCAGTGTCTTGGCCAATCAACCCCTCCGCGGTTAGTCCGGCGTCTGCTGGACGTGCCTGCAAGAAATGTCCTACGATGCTCATCTAACATGGGACTAGCACGCGCTGTTAAGTGCTCAATTCCATCGCCATCTTCCTCGATAAGCCCCGAAACCCTAGACGACCACCATCTTTCATGTTCCAGCGTCTTCTCGCAATAGTGTCGAGATGTCGCAAGCCTGAAGAGGTCTCAGATGATGGGTCCCAGCGACTCTTCTTACGGTGGGATTTCGGTGGACAGGCTTCCTGCTCATGATACTGATGAGCAGATTCAGAGATATACATAAGACGAGAGTTATACAGTATATACACACAACTTCATAAAGGCCATGCAACTAGGTCAAGAGCTATGCATCTGCGGCTCAGCCAGTGAAAGCAGACTTTCAGCGATTTCGCCCTGAACACATCATCCCTCAACCCGACGCCAACACTTCAAGCGCAACCCAGGCCCCAACACCCTAAGCTCTAAACTCTAACCCATGAACACCCGGACGAAGTCTGAGAGCGTAAACCTCTGAAGACCCTAAACCCTAAACCCTAAACCCTAAACCTCAAAAGAGGGCTCGGACCTGGTCATGCAGAGAAAGGCCATTGCACGTAAAACTAAATTAATCAACCCCTGCTCCCTGGACCCTACTTCCAACAAGCCACTCCCGCCATGGAAGAACCCTAAACCCTAAACCCTAAACCAGAATGCCCTAAATCAGACTAAACCCTATAAACCCTAAGCCCTATATCAGACCAGACCCTGAATAAACCCTAACCCCTAAACCCTAAACCCTAAACCCTAAACCCTAAACCCCAACCCCTAAACCCCTGAAGCCCCAAACCCTAAACCCAGAAACCCTAAACCCTAAGCCCAGAAACCCGAAACGCTAAGCCCAGAAGGCCCGGAATCCTCCTGAGGTGCCATGGCAGACCGGCTCCTCTTTTCCCAAAGCCCACGCTGCAGCCGACGCCGCCGCCAGCAAAGGAGAGGAGGGTTTTCAGGGTTTTTTTTTGGGGGTTTAGGGTTTAGGGTTTCAGGGTGTTTTTTGGGGTTTAGGTTCTAGGGTTTAGGGTTTAGTTAGGCTTTCAGGGTGTTTGGGGGTCTTGGGTTGAGGGATTTTCGGTCCCAGGGTGTAGGATTCAGGGTTCAGGGATGCTTAGGGGTGTTGGCACTTTCCGGGTTTAGGGGTTTGGGACTTTCGGATTTTGGGGGTGTCGGGCAGATCCTGTTCTAGGATGTATTTTGAACGCACTTTTCCACCCTAAACCCTAAACCCTAAACTCTAAACCCTAAACCCTAAACCCTAAACTCCAAACCCTAAACCCTAAACCCGGTTCTGGGCACAGAACTCAAGGAGTTGGTACTGGCTTTCCTGGGCCCCAAGAGACCTACTGTTTTAAGAGCAGCTGCAATGAAATCATCATAGGGAACCAGGGTTTAGGGTTTAGGGTTCAGGGTTTAGGGTTTAGGGAACCCTACTAAGGTAATCTATAGAAGCGTAGACAATTCCCAAATCAATATGATGTTTTGTCAGGGTTCCTTATGATATGCCATAAATGAGCCCAGAACCTTGTTCTAATTATCAAGGCGGGTTATTTAGGGTTCTAAAAGGGTTCAGGTACGGTTTTTCAGGCCGAGCGCCGAAGGTTTGAAATTGGTACGGAAAACTTTGGTATATCGGAAGCTTGGCTCTGGGGTTTAGGGCAAAGGAATTAATGGGGATTTTGGACTTTATTTGGGTTTTGGGTATAAGCATAGGGTTTCAGGGATTTGAGGGGGGTGTAGGTGTAGAGTGGGTGAAGGGTTTAGGGTGTAAACCCTAAACCCTAAACCCTAAACCCTAAACCCTAAACCCTAAACCCCTAAACCCAACAGTAGGGGCTTACCGTCTAGGCGCAGGAAGTGTGAACCAGCGGCCAGTTGGTCTTTGCAAGCAGCAGCGTAGAAAATTGCTGCTTCCGCTAGCTGCAGCGTTGTTTATGCCTCTAAGGTCTACCCTAAACCCTAAACCCTAAACCCTAAGCCCTATAAACCCTAAACCCTAAACTTAAATTAGGCCGCTAAGGTCTAGAGGTGTAGAGTTCGAAGAACTGTAAGCCTTCCCGTCGAGCGCTTTGGGAGTTCGTTCCGGGTCGAGGGGCTTGCGGATTAGGCTTTAGGGCTTCTGTTCGAGTTAATGGGTTCAGAATCCAAAGCAAACAATGACGAAAGTGAACCGTTTGGGGTTCAATTCCCTACGGTGTAGCGCAAAATACATGTTGCGTTTTGCAGCCGGTTTGCCCCATGTACCTGCTCATACATATGCACATACAAGCCAACCTGCCTGCCTGCATGCATGCTAACATACATGGTTTCATAATATGCATTTACATACATGGTGAGAATGTAAGCGACCGGTGGTGGGATCAGCTACTGTGGCGTAAAGCCGGAATCCCATCCCCAAAATCCATCATGACAGCAAAGATCGCCAAGTCATAAGCTGCTAGGGTAACCGAGATTCAGCAGCGCTGACCTCTATGGTGCGGTGTTGCAGGCCCACAGCGGTTCCCCAAACTGAAATCCTATCCCTAAATCCAAAACCCTAAGTCCTAAACCCTCCTAAACCCCAAAACCCTGAGTCCTAATTCCTCCTAAACCCAAACACCAAGTCCTAAAGCCTCCTAAACCCAAAACCCCAAGCCCCAAATCCTGAACCCTCCACCTTGAATCCAAAACCTTCATGCCCTTGCGGCCTGGTGTGGCCTTGAATCCTATACAACCTGGAAATGCAGGCCGAGTTCCCAGAACTAGGGTTTGGGGGGGTATACCATAGTTTCCTAAACCCTATACCCTAAACTTATAGTCAATCATAGTATACGTCAGCATTAATAGGGTTGAGGGTCCAGGGTTTAGGGTTTAGGGTTTAGGGTTTAGGGTTTAGGGTTGAAGGAACCCGAAGGGATCGTATAGCAGATCTTCGGGTCGATGAAGGTCTGATAGGCATGGCATAGCTGGCCAGGGTTGGTCCCTCCAAGGAAACATAGACAGGGCCACTTACTTCCTTTTCTTATAGGAACGAAGGTACTGGGGTCATCTGTCAGGGACAACTGTTTCGGGGTTGAGTCTGGCTTTTAGGTTGGTCTGAACCCTAAACCCTAAACCCTAAACCCCTAAACCCTAAACCCTAAACCCGCGCGCGCGAAGGAGGCGTCCGCGAAGAAGGAGGAGGCTCGTCCTCGAGTTCCTTCAAATGGAACTGTTATACTAGGTATGCAGTGCCGTTGTGGGTTTAGTGTTCAGTGTTCCAAGTGCTTAGGATTAAGAGTTGGGATTTAGGGTTCAGGGCTAAGGAGTTTCGGGGTTAGGAGCGTCGCGCAGCCTCTTTGAACGACGGGCTTCGAGCATTGCTTTCTTGCGGTATGTGTGCAGCATTAGTACACTGTCAAACATCCCAAAACCCCAAACCCTAAACCCCAAACAACCTAGAGTGTTTATGCAGTGGCTGCCTTCAGGTTGTGTGTAGCTTGCATCCTCGAATCATCAGAGGTGATACTGTAAAACCGGTGCCGGGCTACTAAGGTTTATAGTTTAGGGTTTGGGGTTTCGGGGTTTAGGGTTTGGGTTTTGGGTCTAGGGGTCTAGTTAAGCACAGGCTACAGTTTCAAGCACCCGTTCAAAACTGCACACTCGCAACGTTTGACAGCGAACTCCGCGTCCTGAAACTTTATCCTCCCTGCGTAGGATCATACGGGGAACAGTCTTCAGACTGAGCCATTTCGAAACGTGAGGGTTTCTTTGGTACATATAAGTTCCTTGTCTTAGCTAACAGGTTTTCAACCTTTTTATCCAAGATCCACTAAGTGCCGCGATGGATAGTCAGCAAGTTTCCCAAGTAGTACCAGGTACCTTTTTTGCCTTGTTCGTTGGGCCGTACCATCCAAACTCGGCGGTAGGAACAAGGAATCCTTGCTAGTTATGCGCTACTTAAGAACTGCGGCTAGATCATGTCGAACAGGAGATCCCCTCCGGAAAGGCTTTGGACGTCAAGTATGACAAGGCGCTGAGAGGATTTATGCCCCAAACATGTCGAGCCCAGCACTTTGAAGCCAGAGCTCCCCTGTTCCCCCTGTCCCTTAAAAACCCAAACCCCCTAAACCCCTAAACCCAAACCCCTAAAGCCTGCACTCAAACAGCCCTCAACGCATTCAATAAGCCCTCAAAGGAACCCGCCAGAGAACCCCGAGTCTCGAATCTCTGAAGCCTCTTTGAAGGATGCCCGAAAGCCTAACTTCGACAACCCTAAACCCTAAACTTACTTAGGAGCCCAATAGGTAAACTTTAAACTTTTTTGGTATACTAAACCCCCTACTAAAAGAAAAGTTTAAACTTGTTTGGGCCAGGGTGCTGGGCAGCTAAGCTTAGGCTTCTGGCATGCCTTAGCAAGACGAGGCTTTCGGACCTCTTGTGCTTCGGACTTACAGCCTCGAGGCTCAATAGGGTTTAGGGCTTAGGCTTTTAGGGCTTAGGGTTTAGGGTTTAGGGTTTAGGGTTTAGGGCTTAGGGTTTAGGGTTTAGGGTTTAGAGCTCTTGCCTTCGGTTCCGCGCCAACCAAGCGGCGATGACGACACCGGCGCTGTTGGGAATTGAATGGGAAGAGTGCAGGGAGATGTGGTGGTGGTGCTAACGGTTCCCGGGGCGGTGGTGGTGCGAGAGGGTGGGAGTGCTCGTGCTGGCACTGGTGGTGGTGATGGTGGCAGTGCTGTTGTCACGGCTGGTTTTTGTAGACGTGTTTGTCTTTCTGGTGCTGCCGGCTGGTTTTTGTAGAGGTGTTTGTCTTTCTGGTGCTGCCGGTGATGCTGATGACGATGCTAACCAAGGTCTTAAATAGATTTGAACACGGTGATGTTTGTGTTGCAGTCTGCCACAGTGAGCACGACAAACGACGATGACGATGACAATGGTCACGGCCAGACTGTTCTACTTGAGGCCTGACGGGACGCCTCAATTTCGGCAAGGTGATCATTTTTCTTGTGCGATCTTATGAACCCAATTTCGTTTGTAGAATCCTCCGACCGCCGTTATTTTCAGCCAGGGGCATCCCTCTCCGCTGGCTGGACTGTGACAGGCTTCCAAGGGTGACCAGGAAGCTGCACAGGCAGCGCTCCTGGCTGTCCCAGCCTCAGTCTCTTCTCCTCAAGTGCAGGGTCTAGCATGGAGAGTAGCAACACAGCTTGAAGACTTATGACGACGAGCCCTTATATTCGCTTTAAAGCTAAATGATATCATAACATACTATAACCCAAAATCCTGTTGGACCCCAACAACAATGCTCGGTTTACGGTTTTGACCGTTGCAACTCTCCACCGCGTTTTGGGGCACGGCACAATGCACTTATCCCTGGATACGAAAATTGTGACAGGTTTCGGGTGCAGAACGCCAGGGGGCCCCGGCTTATAGGACGTTTATAGAAGCCTAAATGATTGCCAACACCACTCCTTGGGGTTCCTTCTTAATCTAGGCTGTTTTTGAGGGGTTTATAAGGGACCCTGTATATAAATATTTTTGAGAGGGTTTAAAGGCCAACCCAGTGATGTAATTATTCTCTAGAGGAGCCCAAAACCCTGAATACTCCAATTACTCAGCCCCTACATTACATGCAGATTTAAAGATGCACTGAGGCGATGACTGTGGCCCCGGTGGTTCCGGCCGCCACGGTGCCCGAAGTAGCCCCCGAACCGGAGCCAGTGGCGACTGAAGCGGCGCCGGCAGAGTGGCTTGGGCAGCGTTGGTGGCTGCAAACTTGCAGTTCCGGATTTCAACTTCTTGTTTATCATGTAGTTCGAGTTTCGGCTTGAGTTTCGGGGTTCCTGAAGACTCATAATTTAGGGTTTAGGGTTTAGTGATGGTGGTGGTGGTGGATGGCACGGGTGCTCTCTGCCGCACAGCATGTTCCCTGTGAGTATACCTAAGCTCCAAACCCTGAAGCCCTCGGGCGAAAGGAAGTCGAGGCTCACGAGCAGGGAACCGTACACTTCTGGCATAGAACAGAGATTGCCGCTAAACCCTAAACCCCTAAACCCTAAACCTCTAAACCCCTAAACCCCGAAACCCCTAAACCCTAAACCCCAAAACCCCTAAACCCCTAAACCCTAAACCACTCCTAAATCTCTCAGCTCTCCCCCAACTCCGACCGGAAAGCTACATGCACTCACCTATCCATGGGTGCAGCCATCCATTCCTTCATTCCTTCAAGCATGTCTTGGTTGCGTATTTGTGGGTATACCTAGACCCCCCAACAACCCTCTATTCTTCCCCAAATACCCACTATTAAGGACCATAAGGGCTCTATTAAGGGCCGTTGGGGGGTTCTGGTACCTGCAACCACCTGCAAGACTCTGCGCCTGAGAAGCACAGACCCGGAACCCTAAGCCTAAACCCCCCTCTACTTAAAGGATCATGGGACGTAGTAAGTAGGGTTATAACTCGGGTAACTCTACTTATAACCCCAATTAGGGGACTTATAACCTTACTTCCTAAGTCCCATGATCCTCCAAGTACCCTGCTATTTTAGAGCCCAGGTCTGAGCCAATCTTCAAACCTTAAGGGAACCCGCCTCAGGACCCTTCAAGTTTCAAGCCCGGTTTAGGGTTTAGGGTTTAGGGTTTAGGGTTTAGGGTTTAGGGTTTAGGGGCCATGTCCTCTAAGGCCCGAGGAGACCACGCCCGCCACGAAGAGCCGCAAAAAGAAGTAGCTCAGCTCAGTTCTTTGTGGCAGGGTTTGGGGTTTAGGGTTTAGGGTTTAGGGTTTAGGGTTTAGGGTCTTGGGGCGTAGGGTCTTGGTTCAGGGTTCAGGGTTCAGGGTGAGTTAGCGGGTAGTGAGTCAGACTTCAGGTGGTCGCGGGACTGTCGGTTTTAGGTTCTGCCACCCCTGCACTGTGTTACGACCTGAATCAAGCTCGAGCCTCACGAACCCACATCCAAAGCTAATTTTATTTGTTTTGTTAAAAGCCTTCCAGATTAATCGCAAGAGCTTATCCTGTTTCCCCAGCACATCTTACGCCCCACAATGCGTTGCCTAGCACCAATCCGAACGATCAAGGGCAAAGAAACTGCAGAACACAGTGCACGACCCTATGCAGCCGAAACACCAAAACTGTTTGCCGTACGCCGAACCCCTAAACTAAATCCTAACCCTTATAAACTAAACCCTTAACCTTAAATGCCTGAACCCTAGACACCTACTCTCTGCCTGTAATCTGGACTTCGGCCGAAGTTGTTTCTTCTCGCTCTTCTGTTGATTATGGTTGTGTCGATTATTGTCCTGATCGTTGCTTGATGACTGTTATGAGTAAGTTAAGTATTGTCATTGTTTCTGTTTTCATGAGTATTGACATTCTTACATGTGCCGTTTTTTGTTAAGTATGGCATGGTGTGAGCTGACATGGCTTTGCATGGTATATTGCAATATCCTATACAACATTATATCACACCAGAGTATAGACCCTCAACCCTAAACCCTAAACCTAAGGGACTCCTGTGATCCGGTGGAAAGAAATCCTCGTTTCCTGGCGACCCAGGTGGCTGGGCAACGGGCGGATAGAGGGACGAGCAGCCCACCTGCCCAACGCATCCATCAATGGCACGTACTACGCCATCTCCTCAGTTGCAACATAGGGGCCTTCATAATTAGAATAGGGTTTTGGGCCCATTATACTATAGTTATAATAAGGAACCCCTAAAATAGCATTAGCAATTATTTAGGCCCCTGCATTATATGCCCGGCTTAAAGCATAAAGATGAGAGCTCCTTCTTCTTGAGTCCCTGGGTTGTCTTTTGGGATCTTTTTTAATTTCCCCTACTATTTTGTAGAGAACCATAATAGTAAATAATTTTCAAAGGGCTTAAGGACAACTTAGGTCCTTTATGTATGTCATGGAGTTTCCAAAAATTAGGGTACCTTATTTTGGGGTCCTTAGAATAAGGATCCTATTATTTAGGGTACTATATTAGGGTCCCCTATTTTCGGAAACCCCCCATGTATGTCCTGGAAAGGCCGGCTTCTGGAGGCTCTGCTCTGCTCTAGCATGTCCCCCCAAGCCTCGCAGCTGGCATCTTACGCCGGGCACCCCCAGGTCAGGGTTCAGTGGTGGACATGTTTAGGGTTTAGGGGTTTAGGGTTCAGGGTTTAGGGGTTAAGGGGTTTAGGGTTTAGGGTTCAGGGTTTAGGGGTTTAGGGTTTCGGGTTTGGGGTTACGCGCTCCTACTCTTAGTATTTGTCGACGCCTGGTGTTGTTCACGGATGTAGCCGAGCACCGCCCCGAACCTTGGACCCTCAATCACCTGCTAGACATGCCACAAGTGAGGTGAAAGAGAAGACCATGCTTTTTCACGGTCGCCCCTGCTGGGAGAAGCCAAGCGCGTGGGACCCAGATCACCAGGGGTGACACAACAGCAGTACGTCAAAGATCAGAGGGGCTGAGGGAGTTGTTGAGTTGAGTGTGCTTGGGGGCCATGGATCAATGTTCAGGTTTTCGCGGTGGATTGAAACCGGGGCTTGCTGCAAGACACCAACAAGTTTCCTCGAGCTTCTCGAAATAAGGACGGAGAGAGGGGAAGTAGAGCAGCTCATGGAAAAGTGGACCTCAACCCTAGCTAAGCTTAGCCTTAAACCTCGAATCACACATCCAAGGGGGAAAATTTCAATCTGCAGCTCTGGAAGATCTCAGGCAAATCTGGAGGAGCGTCGGGTGATATTCTTCAGCAATCCGCTCTTGCAGCCGCTTGGTCTCGAGTTTTTGGGAGTTTAGCACTACGGTTGATTTCACAAATCCTGCATTACCCATAATAAGGAATATACCATAATTTCCATAGGATCCTTAAGGTACTGCAGGATTTATAACATCAACAGTATGGCCACTATGGGGTTTCAGGGTGTTGGGCTTTGGGAATAGGGTTCGGAGTCTCTGATCCGAGGTACGGGGCTGAGGCGTTGGGGTTGAAGGTTCGAATCAGGGTTTAGGGTTTAGGGTCTAGGGTTTAGGGTCTAGGGTTTAGGGTTTAGGGTCTAGGGTCTAGGATCTAGGGTCTAGGGTCTAGGGTTTAGGGTTTAGGGTTTAGGGTCAAGGGTTTAGGGTTTAGGGTCTAGGGTCTTGGGTTTGGGGTCAGGGTTTAAGCTCGCGGCGGGTTGATGGTTGGGCTCGTTCGGTTCAGGGCCCTAACCCTAAACCGTTTTGATCCCCGGAGTGCCGACGATCTGCCGAGCTTGAAGTTGGAGATAGGCTGTTGAATACTGGGTCCACTGTTTTGGCAGGGTTCAGGTCAGGGGTTTAGGATTCAGGTCTTAATTAAGGGGGTTTGAGGGTTTTAGTGTCATTTAAGGTTTGGGGTTTATGATCTAGGGGGAGTTGCTCGTGCCTTGCGTCTTTAAATGCTCAAAGCTCCATAGCATCAGACCCCCGTGTTTGGTTCAGTTCCAACACTCAAACCGAGCGTCACCAAATCCAAGCCCGCATCCCCAAACTTAACCCCGGAATCCCTAAACCCCGAAACCCAAGGGTTTAGGGTTTAGGGGTTTAGGGTTTAGCATTTAGGGTTTAGGGTTTTCCCCAAACCCTGAAGCCCTGAAACCCCTAAGCCCCAAACCCTCAAAGCGAAAGCCAAACCCATTCGGCGCAGAGGTGGAAGATCAGTGACCGCTTCGACGATCAAGCGGATGTCTATGCGTTCGCGAACGCCAGAGATCTCGACGACAAATCCGCACCCACAGGTGGGAGGGAGTGCAAAAGGGCTTAGGGCTTTCACCCTAAATGTGAGAGATCTGATGGAGGCGGCTGATGACCAAGCACGGCTCAACGTGATCAGAATGCAGAAGACCCCAAATTTAAATCCTGAAAACTACCATGTCCAAGCTTTCCAAACTCAGTTCAGTGGTTTAGGGTTTAGGGTTTAGGGGTTTGGGGTTTAGGGGTTTAGGGTTTAGGGTGTTCCACATACGCTGTCCATGGGATTCCAGTGGTGCTTCTGTTTCGGGAACTGCACTGGAAGCAGACGGCAATTCCAACAAACCCTCCTGAGATAATGAACCCATAACGACGTAACTTAGAAAGCCAATAGGAGAACTTTAAACTTTTTGGCCTTATCTATCAGGTCTATCCCAAAAAGTTTGAGCTTTTTTGGGCCTGGTTCAAGAGACTAAGAGACCAGAATATAGAGACTTAAAATAAGTACCAATATTATTCTGAGGGTTCCTTATTATGAAGATAGTATAGTGAGCTCCAAAACCCTAGTCTAATTATTAAGGCCCCTACATCACCTAAACCCTTAAGTGAATCTCAGAAGACCCTGAACCTGAAGCACTGAAAGCCGTCACCCCAGCCCTAATCCCTGAGCTCAGACGAAGCTGTTCCTAGCCCTAAGCCTTAAACCCTAAACCCTAAACCCTAAATCCCAAACCCTAAACCCGAAACCCTAGACCCTAAACCCTAAACCCTGAACCTTAAACCCTGGACCTCCTACAGAGCCGGGCTCTTCAGGAGCGAGCTTAAAGTGGTGCGTCTTCGACGGCAAGGAGCACATCTTCGATCCGGAGGCTCCCAGTGCTATCTAGGGCAGAGGGTTTAGGGCTTAGGGGTGTAGGGCTTTAGGGATTTAGGGGTTTAGGGCTTTGGGTTTAGGGTTTAGGGATGTAGGGGTGTAGGGCTTTGGGGTTTAGGGTTTCGGGGTTTAGGGGTTAGGGATTTTGGGGGTTTAGGGATTTAGGGGTTTAGGGTTTCGGGGTTTAGGGTTTAGGGTTCTGATTCATTTCTTACATATTCTGATTATATGGTTGATTGCTTTAGTCATGCTTATTCCACTCTGTTTCAGGGTCTGAGGCCTTATTCCTAGACCGCAAACCTTGCCCAGGCCAAAAGCTGCAGAATAGCACGGGTCTAAAACCCTTAACCCTAAACCCTAAAACCCTTGGAAGCTGCATAGCAACATTTATCGGGCCCGTAGAGCAGCCCTTATATCGTATCCCCAAACTCTAAACCCTAGTCCCTCAAACTCCAAACCTACCAAAAACGCTAAATCCTAAACCCTAAGCCCTAAACACTAAACCCTAAACCTACTATCGGGTCTTGTAGATCCCTAAAAGGGGTTTTCATAGGGGGAGGCTCGGGCTGCGGCTGATATTTGCGTTTTAGGGTTCAGGGTTTAGGATTTAGGGTTCAGGGTCTAGGGTTAGTCGACGAGCGGATCTTTCAGTTCCTGACTTGGCTGAGCCGGAGC